CATGTTTAGTGGCTGCGAGATCCAACTTGGGCGGCCGTGTCTCGGTTCATGTCTCGGCAGGTCACGGAGTCTCGTGTCAGATTTCGGGTGTTCGAAAGTCGCTGGATTCAATAAGGCAAGTTAACGGTCCAGTACTTTCCGATGGCGAGGAAATGGTTATTTCTGATTCGAACGTCATTCACAAGCAGGTGGGAAATCTTTTTGGCAAGTGCAAACTTCAAGGATCTATTGAAATTAACAACGATTTAGGTTTCGTGTATGCCGACACTGAAGACCGTGAAAGAAAACGATAGCTATGAGGTAGTGATAGGAAGTGAGCGCATGATGGAAAAGTATGGAATCACTATCGATGACGTCACTGCTGCAGCGCTGTCTGTTGAACAACAGAAGGGCCATATTTCTGTACTCTGCGCCATAAATGGTTCGTTTTTGGTTTTGTGGCCTTATACTTCCCGCTGAAGACATGGTCAATAAGTAGGGAGTAGAGCGCTGAAGGGACTCGCATGAATACACTGATTGAGCCCTAAGAAGCAATTTTGCTAAGACTCTGTTTTTAATGCTTTGAGTTAGCGAGGATCATCCATTTTTGGTATGACCAGATTGCTCAATGCTGTCAGATCCGTCCACAACTTTGTTCTTGACTTTCGACTTTTGTAAAGATCTCAAGATCAGGGAACGAGGACAGTTGTTGTAGGGGAAGCGGTGGCAATCATCTCTATCGCGGACAAAGTGAAGAATGAGGCAGCTTTGGCAGTGTGGGCGCTAACGAAGATGGGAATGCGGGTTGTGCTCCTGACTGGAGATAACGCGAAAACCGCTGGCTCTACGGCTAAACAAGTACGTTTTGCAAGTTGATAACTTTTTTGTGATTTATTTTGACAATGGGTGTTCCAGTATTACTTTTATTTAAACACACTGCGCGTGCGCCACCATGTGGCGCACGATTTTCAAGCGGAAAGATTATAGTTTTTATCTGATTTCGGCATTTTTCAATGCTCCTGATGTGTTTGCACTCATTTTCAGAACCGGAAAAGAATAAGTATCATCACTGATAAACTTGTTGGTAGACTAATGATAATTCGTTTTCAATAAACATAAAAAAGGTGCGGAGATACTCGTACAAGGGCGTTCTGCAATGTGTTAATAGCAGGATTCTTATATATGTAGAATAATATAAATAATAGTTTTCTGAGCATGAGAAGGTCATTACGGCACGTTTCCCCATTTTTTTCCTCAGGCACGTGTGGCGCTGCAGACGCTTTCTCATATCTTTATTAGATAGGGATAAGAACTCCAAATCTATTTGTATACATAATCGCATATCCTTACATTGTCAAAGCAGTGTTGCTCTTATCTACAAAGGAATCCCATCACGTGTTCGTCAAGTGAGTTTTGTGCTTGAATTTCATTCTTTCAGGTGGGAATTGCGGACGTGTTTTCGGAGGTTCTACCGAATCAGAAGCAGAAGAAAATTCAGCAACTGCAGGTGTGTTCGTGGTTTTATGCAGTTAACATGGGTTATCTTTTCAATGTATCCTCAAACATATACATATTTCTTATACTGATTTCGACTCGGAATCGCACCGAGCCTGTCAGGATAAGCTCAGAGAAGTGGATCCGAGCGAACCCTTTTCCTTTTTCCTCATTCAAAAATCGTCACTCAACCCCTCCTCCTGTATACGTGCGATTTCATTTACTACACTCTCGCTTTTTGTGTTTATTCTGAACTAAAAGTAAGGAAAAGAGAACCCAGGCCTATTTTCTCTTCGTAACATGACTCCCCATTTTTTCAGTACGGCTATCCTAACGTTTCGACGCAAGAATTTTATCAGAAAGATTCATTCTGAACTATTGTCATTAATTGTCCCATACAAGCCACCCAAACTACGTAAATCTAGTGTGTTTTCTTTTTCCTCCGTTTTGATTCACTTCTATGTTGCCAAATATTGTGTTAAGAATGCTGGAGAGCGAGTGGCTATGGTTGGTGACGGTGTTAACGATTCCCCTGCACTGGCGTCTGCCGATGTTGGCATCGCTATTGCCGCCGGTAGCGACGTAGCTATTGAAAGTGCCGGCATCGTCCTCGTTCGGGTGAGCATTGGTTCACTTCTTCTTCTTCTTGTCAGGTTCGCCACATTTCCCTTTATCATCAAAAGTCCTTTGAAGAATGATCTCATCGACGTAGTTGGTGCCATAGAGTTGTCAAAGAAGACGACGAGAAGAATCAGACTCAACTTCCTTTTTGCGATCATCTACAACGCGATTGGAATTCCTATTGCTGCAGGTAATACCTAAATGTTTGACAATCTTTCCTTCTTGAAGAAAAATGGTTTCATGTTTCACTTTTTTATTATTGTATTAGTATTGCATAATTCATTTTTACATTTCTAAGAGCACATAACTTTTGCATCATTTTCGGTAATATTATTATTGTATCTCAGTGTTTCTTAATGTTGAGTATGTCTCTTAACTTGCATTTTGTCAAAAATCGACACCACATTAGTTGTAACGCTGTAAAGTGAAGGACAGGGAGAGCTAGGCAATTTTTTTTCGTAATATTCTGCAAGGTGTTTATATGCTTGTATATTGCTTCATAATATTGTTATGTTATTAATGTAGTATTGACAAATCTAATATATTTCTGTGTTAGTGTATTGCCCATGCAGTAATTGGCACCTGTTGTCCAGTTCCAGTACATCTTTCTTTACCAGAAAAATTAGGATTAGTTATCAGAGGTTGGGGTAAGAGATCAGTGGAAAATGTCCCTCATAGGACCTCGTCCCCGTCTCTCCTTTTCCTTGAGGATCGGTCACACAAACTACATTCTGTGGAACAAGGTAAAAAGCGCGGAAAGCCAAAGGCGGGGCATGGAAAAGTCCGCCTTGAAACGGCTACGTATCAGGCGACGCAGTGAAAGAATCGGGTAAAGCATGCGATTTTGGAGAGTAGAGACAAATCGATCGATAGAATAGGATGCAGTAGAAGTGTGAGATGTGAATGCAATAAGTCAAAGGCCAGAAAGAGTTTCTAGTGACGGCACTCCAAGAACCAAGTGGAAGCATTCCCGTCGCCAGCATTTGTGACAGATGTGCGGCGGTACTTTGAACGCGTAGCAGCCCTTTCGGTTTTTCGAATTTTTTTTCCAAAACAAATGCAATTTTTCTGTTCTTTTCATTCTTATCGTGGATGATGAGTCTCAAACCAGTGATTGATGGCTGAAATAGAATCATGTTTTCCGTGAAGATTCCTTTTAAACAGTGATCTTTCAATTAAGCCAGTGAATTTTTTACGTGTCTGCCCTCCCGTAGTACCCCAGAGTGTCTTTCAAAATTGCGAGTGTCTACTTATCCCTCAGAAGGACATTTGTGCGGTGACAAAAAATAGTGGAAGTCTGAAATAGCTTTTTTCGCAGCAATGGGATTTCTTCAAAATTAGTCCTTTTGCACTTTAAGCTACTTTGTTCTAACGGTTTAGTGGCGCTGTTGTGAAGCGTAGTTTCTGAAAGAAAGGCTTTTTCCACGGAGTTCTTCCGTCCTTTTGGATTTATGCTGCAACCCTGGATGGCTGCTGCGGCTATGGCTTTAAGTAGTGTATCCGTTGTAACTTCGTCGTTGCTGCTGAAAGCATACAAGTAGGCATTCATATCCCTTCATCAGTTCCAATACGGTCTTGATAAATAGCTGATCTGATTACAGGAAGCCAACCTATGGTTCTTTGTATACCAGTGAGTTCAAGCAACATGCAAAAGCTCTGGAAGCGGGTCAATTTAAGGTAAGAAAACATCTGATTCTGCTGAAACTTACTGCAGAGGTTCAGTCGGTAAAGTCATGTGCTGCAGGTACGAATCCATCGTGGACTTGAAGACAGCGGAGTGTTTCGGAACGGCGGCTCACGTCTGTCAGTCATCTCGAGTAAAATGGGTTCTTTTTTGGGGTCAACGACGAGTATCATCAGTGGTGCAGGTAACAAACGAACAAGGTAAGTAGTTTTAACTTTTTGAAAGTCTTATACCGCTGCGGCTTGCTTATGATGGTATTTCAGGCTACTTGATAACGGAGAAAGTTCTGATTCGGAAGATCTCCCTGTTTAACATATCACTCTAACATATTACTTTGCCAGTATTGGTTTTACTTGTTTGTGGTTGCAATGCATTCCTTGAGCTGCCTTCATACTTTTGACGTCTCTAGCGCATCTGAGCCGGACTCAGTTTCGCATTTTGTTATAGAAGAGATCAAGCACAACTTCTAACAGGCTTCGCCCTGCGGGTCAACAACTACTGTAGTATTTGATTTCGAAGAACAAATAGTCTGATCAACGTTTCGTTAAAACTATGGTTAATAAAAGCAAAAGCAAAGGATCAGTATTTGGCGTTGATCGACCATTTGTGATGCGCCACGCATTCTGCTTCCATTCACAATCGTAGTGATATTTGGACAGATGGCGGAAGTAGCGTGCTAGTGAGTGGCGCATCCTATACCATTTGCGTGGTCAAGGGATCAAACCCTGGGTCGTACGCCATCCATGCTATAAATCCTCTTCCGTTAAGGGTCCAATCAAGTGATCCCGACTCTTCTGGGAGTAGAAAACTCTGTATTGTACGTCGATTGATTGAACTCCCGCAAGTCATTTTAGTAGGCCAGATTGTATTTAATAATGCCACTTCAATTCTAAATGGAAGTGGAGTGCGTGGCACATCCCAAAAAAGAAATTGATTAACGCCGAATGTTTGATTTTCAGTCTATCAATTACAGGAGTAGGAAATAGCCCTTTCACACAGTCAACCATGACCTTTTATTAGAATAAATTTATCATTCAATCGTTCCACTTACTCCTATACGTGTTCATTAACGCGATTCCCCAATTACTGTGCCCTTGTCTTTTTTGGACATCTAGGTAATTGCCGTCTACTGTTAATTTTTATTTTTTCTCTGTTTGCATTTTCTTCATTTTTTGGATGCCACTGCTGGAAGTTGTGCTCTGATCTCGCCAACTCAAAAGTTCTCGAGATATTGTTGTGCTACGCAACGTAGTTCAGTCCCAGCAGAGCCAGCTGGATGTTCGTAATGTTTAGGAGCCTCCACTTTCGTGAAAGCTGATGCGCTGAAGACGTGATAATTATGAAGGTGGCAGTTTTTTCTAGGATACTGTTGTTTTCACCGACATCTTGTTTACTAACCTGTTGTTATCCTTGAAATCTCTGTTAGTTATATCTTTGTCACTTTCCTACTGTTGTTTGAATCCTTCTGTGATACGTTACTATATGTTGAAAATAGGCTTTCCTCTTCGATGAACAGAAGATTAAAATGTTCAGATTTTGATGAATGTTGGTGCACAACACGCGACTCTCATTAGTTAGGGAGAGGGGAGGGCGTTTTTTTCAGAGGGTACAAAACATTTGAAGCTATACAAATGTTT